ATTCTGGTCCCCGCTAGTCCCCTTGCTGGATTTTGAGTTCTTTCATTGCACCCGGTTCATCCCGCCGGTTCTTACGCCGGAATTCGATTCTTTCCACGGATTCCGGTTCCTACCGGTTCCTACCGGCTTACCCCAAATGCCGGTGCCTACTTACCATGGAATCCCCGGATTCAGGTTCCAGCCCCGGATTCCGGTCAGATTCCGGTGCCTACCCCGGATTCCGGCTCCTACCCCAGATGCCGGTTCCTACCCCGGATTCCGGTTCCTACCCCGGATTCCGGTGCCTACCCCGGATTCCGGCTCCTACCCCGGATTCCGGTTCCTATTCCGGATTCCGATTCCTACCCCGGATTCCGGTGCCTACCCCGGATTCCGGCTCCTACCCCGATTCCGGCTCCTACCCCGGATTCCGGTTCCTACCCCGGATTCCGGTTCCTACCCCGGATTCCGGTGCCTACCCCGGATTCCGACTCCTACCCCGGATTCCGGTTCCTACCCCGGATTCCGGTGCCTTCCCCGATTCCGGTTCCTACCCCGGATTCCGGTTCCTACATTGTGGCTCCTACCCCGGATTCCGGTTCCTACCCCGGATTCCGGATTCCGGCTCCTACCCCGCATTCCGGCTCCTACCCCGGATTCCGGTTCCTACCCCGGATTCCGGTGCCTACCCCGGATTCCGGTTCCTACCCGGACTCCGATTCCTACCCGGATTCCTGTTCCTACCCGGATTCCGGTTCCTACCCCGGATTCCGGTGCCTACCCCGGATTGTGGCTCCTACCCCGGATTCCGGTTCCTACCCCGGCTTCCGGCTCCTGCCCCGGATCCGGATCCGCTGCTCACCCCGGATTTCGGTTCTATTTCGGATTCCGGTTCCTACCCCGGATTCCGGTGCCTACCCCGGATTCCGGTGCCTACCCCGGACTCCGGTCCCTATACCCCGGATTCCGGCTCCCGGTTCCTACCCCGGATTCCGGCTCCTACCCCGGATTCCGGTGCCTACCCCGGATTCCGGTGCCTACCCCGGACTCCGGTCCCTATACCCCGGATTCCGGCTCCCGGTTCCTACCCCGCATTCCGGCGCCTACCCCGGATTCCGGTTCCTACCTCGGATTCCGGTTCCTACCCCGGATTGCCCCGCATTCCGGTCCTACCCCGGATTCCGGTGCCTACCCCGGATCCGGATCCGCTGCTCACCCCCACATTTCGGTTCTATTTCGGATTCCGGTTCCTACCCCGGATTCCGGTGCCTACCCCGGATTCCGGTGCCTACCCCGGACTCCGGCTCCTACCCACCGGCTCGAACTGGTTCCTACCTTCTGTCTGTTACCCGGATTCCGGTGCCTACTTGCCATGGACGGGATTCCGGCTCTACCCCGGATTCCGTTTCTTATCCCGGACTCCGGTTCCTACCGGCTCCAACCAGTTCCTACCCCGGATTCCGGCTATTACCCCGGATTCCGGTGCCTACTTGCCCGGATCCCGGATTCAGGTTCCTACCCGGATTCCGGTTCTTACCCCGGATTGCGGTTTCTATACTGGTTCCTAGCCTGGAGTATTCCAGTGCCTTCTTACCACGGAATGCGCACCCAAATTCCAGTTCCTTCCCGGGATTTGGTTCGGTTCCTACGCCCCGGCTTCCGCCGTCCTACCCCGGATTCCGGTTCCTACCCCTCATTCAGGTTCCTACCCCGGGTTCCGGTTACCCCGAATTCGGATTCCGGTTTTTCCCGGACTCCGGTTCCTACCACGGATTCCAGTTCCTACCGAGGATTCCGGTTCTTGTCCCGGATTCCGGTTCTTACCTGGATTGCAAGTTCTTGCCTTATTCCGGTTCGTATCTCGTATTTGAGCTCAGTCCTGTTCAAAAGAATTGAATGAATGAACTGAAACGTGAACAGGCACATATGCTCAGCCACGGAGCAGCGGGGAGTAGCAATGCCTTTGCGCAATTGAATCTTTATGCAAAAATAAAGTGAAAATGGCGCGAAGAGGGCGGAGCAGGATCTGCAGGACAAGGTGAACGCGACGACGAGGGTGCGTCGGTCAATCCACCCAAAAATTGGTCGCCCTATTTTAAGACGCAGCTTGAAATCATAAATTTGGGTCCTTGGCAAAGCCCAACCTTGCAAGGCTTGCCGGGAACCCGAGAAAAAATCTTGGAAAGGAGGCTTCGAACCGCTCAAAAATTCAGTTCCCTAGAGATGCTGAAGAACCAGGATTGTTTGCGATACAAGCGGACACAAGCAATGGAGTTCCATTGCTTTTCCGGCGTGGTGTTGCCAAACCCCTCCCTGGGCCCCTTGGAAATGTAACTGCCAGGGTCCCCCCCCCCCCCTTACATAAGACACCCTCGGTTTCGCCGGGGGGTTAACAGAGCCTTCTCGTAGCTGAAGCCGTGCACCGCAGCGCACCGCTATCGTCAGCTCGGGACCGCAACTGATAACGAGGCACTGAACGAACAGACAGGGTGTAGCCAACGATAGACAAGGAAGACGACCCACCACGAGCCCAAGCGAAATCGAAGTCCAGATGAAGAGAGAGGAGGACCCTGTCCTGTCCCCAACATCCACAAGACAAGGAATGACCGAAGCCAGGGCCAAAGCCGAAGGCAAACCAGACCCCGCCAAAAGGACAGAACCGCGGGAAGTGAAGGAAACCGCGGAGCGTGAGTGCCACACATCCAGGCTGGGAGACAACGGGAGACAAATGAATCCGTCCACCCAGAGAGCCGTGCCAGGCATCCAGGCTGGGAGACAACGGGAGACAAATAAAGGGAGACAAAGGGAAACAAATGAATCCGTCCACCCACAGAGATGGGAGACAAATGAAGGGGAACCAAGGGAGACAAGTGAATCCGTCCGCCTGGAGAGCCGTGACAGACATCCAGGCTGGGAGACAACAGGAGCCAAATGAAGGGAGACAAAGGGAGAAAAGTGAATCTGTCCACCAAAAAAACAGTGCCAGGCATCCAGGCTGGGAGACAACGGGAGACAAATGAAGGGAAACAAAGGGGTGCCAGACATCCTGGGAGACAAAGGTAGACAAATGAACCCGTCCACCCAGAGAGCCGCGCCAGGCATCCAGGCTGGGAGACAACGGGAGACAAATGAAGGGAGACAAAGGGAGACAAATGAACCCGTCCACCCAGAGAGCCGTGCCAGGCATCCAGGCTGGGAGACAACGGGAGAAATCAAGGGAGACAAAGGGAGACAAATGAACCCGTCCACCCAGAGAGCCGTGCCAGGCATCCAGGCTGGGAGAGAACGGGAGACAAATGAAGGGGACAAAGGGAGACACATGAACCCGTCCACCCAGAGAGCCGTGCCAGATCCAGGCTGGGAGACAACGGGCGACAAATGAAGGGAGACAAAGGGAGACAAGTGAATCTGTCCACCCAGGCATCCAGGCTGGGAGACAACGGGAGACAAATGAAGGGAGACAAAGGGAGACAAATGAACCCGAGCCGCGCCAGGCATCCAGGCTGGGAGACAAATGAAGGGAGACAAAGGGAGACAAATGAACCCGTCCACCCAGAGAGCCGTGCCAGGCATCCAGGCTGGGAGACAACGGGAGACAAATGACAAAGGGAGACAAATGAACCCGTCCACCCAGACTGGATCATCCAGGCTGGGAGACAACGGGAGACAAATGAAGGGAGACAAAGGGAGACAAGTGAACCCAGGGAGACAAACGAACGCGTCCACCCAGAGAGCCGTGCCAGGCATCCAGGCGGGGAGACAACGGGAGACAAATGAAGGGAGACACAGGGAGACAAATGAACCCGTCCACCCAGAGAGCTGTGCCAGGCATCCAGGCTAGGGCTTGGCAACAGGCGAGCCACCTTAAATGAATTTAGAACCCCTCACAGTAAACTGTTTGGGGAACAACCAACGAACCAATCAAACAAGCAAACACACACGCACACACAAACAAGCAAGAAGCAAACAAGCGAACAAAACAATCAACAACACAAACAAACAACCAACCAAACACACAAGCAAGCAAACAAACAAACAAACAAACAAACAAACAAGCAAGCAAGCAAGCAAGCAAGCAAGCAAGCAAGCAATCAAACACACTGACCTACTGTAGACAAAAGAGACAAACACAACAATCAAAGAGGCAAATCTGCAAGCGAGCGAGCAAGCAAGCACGCAAGCAAAGAGACACACACACAACAGAACATCAACAAACAACTGTATATATATTACATATGTGCAAGCCAACCAACCAACCAACGAACGAACGAACCAACCAACCAACCAACCAACTTTGACAATCCAACCAACCAACCAATTTTGACCAACCAGTTTTGACAAAATTACAAACTCTATGTTAACCTGTTCTGCGGCTCTGGTAGACATTTGAGGTTCGGCCCTGTCCAGTCTATGGTTCACGTGGAAGGGACGTGGGCGCACTCTGCAGGAAGTGTCGCCTTTGGATGAGGAGTTGGAAGCTCCTCAGCCTCGGGTGCGGCAGGCGTGGATCCCAGGAAGTCTTGGTCATCAACCCGTGGGGCCCGCTCAGGCTTGTTGAGGGAAAGCAAAGGGAAACCCCGAAACCGGGTTTGGAGAAGCGACATTGTGCATGATGGCTTTTTGCATGTTCTCCACCTTGCCAGTGAAGCCATGAAGCCAAAACAACCCCCGCTGCGACAGGACCCCGTTCATGGTGCAGGGCCACTTGGACTTGCACTATGCCAAGTTCATGATGCGACTTTTGCACAGGGGGGGGGCATGGAAACTTTTTTTTTGCTTTAACTCTTATTGAAACGACGGTTGACCCAATGTAGATGATGAAACCCATCGTTCCAAAATGATATCAACCCAATGGTCGTTGGAACCAGAGGAGTTTGAGTGCGAACAAACTAGGTCGCCTGAAGATGACGAAAGCCTTCAAACTGCTCGGCCACAGCTCAGACCCTCAGATGCCCCGCCGGGTTCGCCCGGTGGCCCGCCCCTTGGCCCGCCCCTTGGCCCGCCACCTGCAGCACCGAAACCTACAGCAGCAAGGGCAACTGCAGCACATCCAGCTTTGGCCAAGACACCAAGCTCAGCAGCACGAATGCCTGCCGGTGTTGCCGGGGACGGCCCCACAGCAACCTCAGGCACAGGCGGTCCCCCTGTTGGCCCGCCACCTGGTTCGCCACCAACGCCAAAGCCTGCCCTTGGTCCGCCCGTTGGCCCTCCGCCTGGTTCGCCCCGAGGCCAACCTCTTGGTCCAAAGCCTGGTTTGCCCGGTGGCCCGCCCCTTGGCCCGCCACCTGCAGCACCGAAGCCTGCAGCAAAAACGGAAACTGCAGCACATCCAGCTTTGGCCAAGACACCGAGCTCAGCAGCAGGAATGGCTGCCAGTGTTGCTGGGGACAGCCCCACAGCAACCTCAGGCACAGGCGGTCCACCTGGCCCGCCACCTGGTTCGCCACAGCCAACGCCAAAACCTGCCCTTGGTCCGCCCGTTGGCCCGCCGCCTGGTTCGCCCCGAACACAACCTCTTGGTCCGAAGCCTGGTTTGCCCGGTGGCCCGCCCCTTGGCCCGCCACCTGCAGCACCGAAGCCTGCAGCAGCAACGGCAACTGCAGCACATCCAGCTTTGGCCAAGACACTGAGCTCAGCAGCAGGAATGGCTGCCAGTGTTGCCGGGGACAGCCCCACAGCAACCTCAGGCACAGGCGGTCCACCTGTTGGCCCGCCACCTGGTTCGCCACAGCCAACGCCAAAGCCTGCCCTTGTTCCGCCTGTTGGCCCTCCGCCTGGTTCGCCCCGAGGCCAACCTCTTGGTCCAAAGCCTGGTTTGCCCGGTGGCCCGCCCCTTGGCCCACCACCTGCAGCACCGAAGCCTGCAGCAGCAACGGCAACTGCAGCACATCCAGCTTTGGACAATACACCGAGCTCAGCAGCAGGAATTCCTGCCGGTGTTGCCGGTCCACTTGTTAGCCCCTCACCTGGTTTGCCGCAGCCAACACCCAAGCCTGTCCTTGGTCCACCTGTTGGCCCGCCGCCTGGTTCGCCCCGAACACAACCTCGTGGTCCGAAGCCTGGTTTGCCCGGTGGTCCGCCCCTTGGTCCACCACCTGCAGCACCAAAGCCTGCAGCAGCAACGGCAACTGCAGCAGATCCAGCTTTGGACAAGACACCGAGCTCGGCAGCAACAGGAATGTCTGCTGGTGTTGTCGGGGACGGCCCCAAAGCAACCTTAGGCACAGGCGGTCCACTTGTTGGCCCGCCACCTGGTTTTGGCCCGCCGCCTGGTTCGCCCCGAGGCCAACCTCTTGGTCCGAAGCCTGGTTTGCCCGGTGGCCCGCCCCTTGGCCCGCCACCCGCAGCACCGAAGCCTGCAACAGCAACGGCAACTGCAGCCCATCCAGCTTTGGCCAAGACACCGAGCTCAGCAGCAGGAATGGCTGCCAGTGTTGCCGGGGACAGCCCCACAGCAACCTCAGGCACAGGCAGTCCACCTGTTGGCCCGCCACCTGGTTCGCCACAGCCAACGCCAAAGCCTGCCCTTGGTCCGCCTGTTGGCCCGCCGCCTGGTTCGCCCCGAACACAACCTCTTGGTCCGAAGCCTGGTTTGCCCGGTGGCCCGCCCCTTGGCCCGCCTCCTGCAGCACCGAAGCCTGCAGCAGCAACGGCAACTGCAGCAGATCCAGCTTTGGGCAATACAGCGAGCTCAGCAGCAGGACTGCCTGCCGGTGCTGCCGGTCCACTTGTTGGCCCCTCACCTGGTTTGCCGCAGCCAACACCCAAGCCTGTCCTTGGTCCACCTGTTGGCCCGCCGCCTGGTTCTCCCCGAACACAACCTCGTGGTCCGAAGCCTGGTTTGCCCGGTGGTCCGCCCCTTGGTCCACCACCTGCAGCACCAAAGCCTGCAGCAGCAACGGCAACTGCAGCAGATCCAGCTTTGGACAAGACACCGAGCACCTCAGCAGCAGGAATGGCTGCCAGTGTTGCCGGGGACGGCCCCAAAGCAACCTCAGGCACAGACGGTCCACTTGTTGGCCCGCCACCTGGTTCGCCACAGCCAACGCCAAAACCTGCCCTTGGTCCGCCCGTTGGCCCGCCGCCTGGTTCGCCCCGAACACAACCTCTTGGTCCGAAGCCTGGTTTGCCCGGTGGCCCGCCCCTTGGCCCGCCACCTGCAGCACCGAAGCCTGCAGCAGCAACGGCAACTGCAGCACATCCAGCTTTGGCCAAGACACTGAGCTCAGCAGCAGGAATGGCTGCCAGTGTTGCCGGGGACAGCCCCACAGCAACCTCAGGCACAGGCGGTCCACCTGTTGGCCCGCCACCTGGTTCGCCACAGCCAACGCCAAATCCTGCCCTTGGTCCGCCCGTTGGCCCGCCGCCTGGTTCGCCCCGAGGCCAACCTCTTGGTCCGAAGCCTGGTTTGCCCGGTGGCCCGCCCCTTGGCCCGCCACCTGCAGCACCGAAGCCTGCAGCAGCAACGGCAACTGCAGCAGATCCAGCTTTGGACAATACACCGAGCTCAGCAGCAGGAATTCCTGCCGGTGTTGCCGGTCCACTTGTTAGCCCCTCACCTGGTTTGCCGCAGCCAACACCCAAGCCTGTCCTTGGTCCACCTGTTGGCCCGCCGCCTGGTTCTCCCCGAACACAACCTCGTGGTCCGAAGCCTGGTTTGCCCGGTGGTCCGCCCCTTGGTCCACCACCTGCAGCACCAAAGCCTGCAGCAGCAACGGCAACTGCAGCAGATCCAGCTTTGGACAAGACACCGAGCTCGGCAGCAACAGGAATGTCTGCTGGTGTTGTCGGGGACGGCCCCAAAGCAACCTTAGGCAGAGGCGGTCCACTTGTTGGCCCGCCACCTGGTTCGCCACAGCCAACGCCAAAGCCTGCCCTTGGTCCGCCCGTTGGCCCGCCGCCTGGTTCGCCCCGAGGCCAACCTCTTGGTCCGAAGCCTGGTTTGCCCAGTGGCCCGCCCCTTGGCCCGCCACCTGCAGCACCCACGCCGATTTTGTCTAAGACATCCGGTTTGGTTGCTGATGTTGTGGGGGAAAGTTCCAAAGCAACCTCAAGCACAAGTGGCTTCCATCCACAGCCAATGCCCAAGCCTGCCCTTGGCCCATCTGCTGGCCCGCCACCTGCAGCACCGAAGGCTACAGCAGCCAATTCAACTGAAGCACACGCCACGACAGTTTTGGGCAAGACACCCAGTGAGGCAGCAGCAGGCATGGCTGCTGATGCTGGAGCAACCTCAAGCACAGGTAGCCCCCAACCACAGGCCACGCCGCAACCTGCCCTTGGTCCACCGGTTGGCCCACCAGGTGTGCCCCAGGGCCCGCCGCTTGGCCCGCCACCTGCAGCACCCACGCCTGCAGAAGCAACAGCAACTGCAGCGCACACCCCGGCGATTTTGTCCAAGACATCAGGTTTGCCAGCAGCCATGGTTGCTGATGTTGTGGGGGAAAGTCCCAAAGCAACCTCAAGCACAGGCGGCCCCCAACCACCGCCCAAGCCCAAGCCTGCCCTTGGTTCTGCACCCACGCCTGCAGAACCCGCCACAGCAGAACATGCTGCTTCTTCTTTGGATGCTGTTGGTGTAGCCGAGAACAGTTCGGAGGGTCTCGAGGCATGTCCGGCGATTCAGGATCCGGAACCCAAATCGCAAGAGCCGGGTGTGCTGCCAGCTTCGACTGGTGAAGATCAATGCAAAGGGCCAGGTTCCGATGCCATGGCGCTTGCGGCGGAAAGCTTCGCGGAGTTCGGGACAGCTCCGATGGTGGCAAAGATTCGTGGGACTGGCGCTGTTTCTAGGCCGCACTTGGAGGTGTTGGAGATGGGGGTGGTTTGAAGCCAAACTAAGAAAGAGGATACCCTGTATTGAGACAAACCTACTTAGAAGCTCGGCGCGCCGTAACGGATTTGTGTTGTTGGGACCCACCCCCAAGGGTGCTTCCTCTTTCGCACTCATGATGGGGTCGTTTGTTTTCATTTTCCTCCAGCCACACTCCTACAAAAGGAAGGCTCCTGTGTTGGTCGACACCCATTTGGTCTCTCCTCTTGCTGAGCATCCCGCATCCGTCAGTCTTGTGCCAACCGCGCACCGCGAGGTTGACGGTGGTACAACAAAAGGCGACTAGGCCGCTTTTAGCTTCGCTGCTTTGGTGCGTGGGTGGGTGGCTGGGTGGTGAGTGGGTAGGTGGGTCAATGCAAGTGAAATTTGATGGGCATGGATTTATATTGGGGATCCTTTGGTGGACGTAATGCACATGGAGATTTATGTCCACCATATTGCGGGTGTTCCCCATTCAATCGGATCAACACATAGCATCGATATATTGTACTAATGTTGCCAAATCGACCAGTTGCTGCGAATTGCGCGGTATAGGCTCTGGCGCGCAACTTGAACATCGGCAGTTAAGCTTGTAGAGCAGTGCTTAACTCCTTGGGGCCATGGGCACGGAAAGGGCCACTAGCAACTGTACTCAGAGCCTGAGATTGGCCAGACGCGCTCGGGATCCTGCCAGACGATCGTGATCCAACAAAGGGATATTTGACCCAGGACTAGGGTCGTTCAAACTCACACATCCAGTGAAATATGAAGACATGAACCGCAAACTTCCGTTCTCCCAATTCAAACAGCTAGGGACGTGGACCCTCAAACTGCCAATGCAGACATATCTTGGGATCATTTCCTATGTTTGCGGGCCCAGGTACCCCTTAAGATTTGTCGAGCGCCTGCCCTGCGGGGCGTTCATGGCTATAACATGCTCTTGCAATTGCAACTTTGTGGAATGAAGCGAATCCTCAGCCAGAATAGCAGAATAGATCTGGTTTTCTATGGTACCCCACAAAAAAATATAAACCGATGCAACGACAACAGGGGACTTGCTCAGTTTCCCAGGTCCAGTCGAATGTCTGAGGGATAACACTGGTGTGCAGGTTCTTTAGGCCCTCAAGCATGTGGCTATGTTGTCCATGTCAGAGGGCGTGGTGGATTCGGTTTCGCTTCTGTTCAAGACCGGAAAAAAAAGGGGCCCTCGCAAAGAACACCCACCCATGTTTCAGGCATGACTTTCAACCCGTGAGGCTCAAATCGCTGAAATGGGGGTTGATCCACATGTCCTTTACGTGGGACAACCTTTGGTTGGAAAACCCACTAAGATGATATGTCCCAAGCCGGTAACAAATCATACCAATCACCCACGGTCAAAATTGGCCGCCCGAAATGGAATATCGATCACCCCCCCCCACACTCCACCCCAACAAAAACGGTTTCCATCAAGTCTGCTCCCATAGTTTTGTGCGTTTAGGGCCCGAAATGGACAAATTGATCCACCCCCCACTGCTCACATCTGGCCGTGGGTCAACACCAATGGTACCATTTTGGTTGGTAGGTGAATTCCCCACCCATTTGAGAACCTATTTTAGTGGTTGGATTGGGTCCCGTTCACTGGGGGCTAACCGATTTGGGTTTTGAGCCAGCCATCTCTCGCTTAGGGCGGGCGCTGGGCGCGCGGTCGCTGGGCGCGGTGCGGCGCTTGGCGGTAAGCCGCGCGCTGCAGCTGCTGGACACCACGGACTGCTGGCTCCTGGAGGAGCGCTTAGCGCAGCTGGAGGTGCGGACAGCGGTGGCGGGTAAAATGTCTGGGGGTTGTACGCCAAGAGTTGTGTGGTTTCCGTGTGGCGTCCTTCAAAAAAAATATGCAAGCAAAAAATGGGAAAGCAAAACTAGTCTGGTGGTTTCCGTGTGGATTCCTTAAAGGAAAGCAAAGGGGGGAACCCTCCAAAAGAAGACAGAGATTCAATAGATGTGGGTGTGAATTGTTGGGAGGTGAGCCTTGTGGTGGACATCATTTGGGGATTCGTGTCCAGCAACCAGTTGTGAGGTGCCAGGTGGTTTCAACCCCTAAAGATCATAGCCATGTGAAAAAGCAGCCACATCCCGGGTCCTCAAGGACAACCAAAAGGAGAGTGTTTAAACACTAGCGGTAAACAAATATGTTTAAACATTTGGTTGGCCCCATCTTGGGTGGGGGATGGAATGAGGGGGGAGGAGAGTCCTGAGGTTTCGTCGGCCCTGGCAGTTGTGAAACACCATGCGCTAAGGGAGTTGGTTTTTTGAGGGTGCCCTTTGGGGTTGCTTTCAAGGGAAGCAGGAAAACCGAAGCTCATTCGGTCAAATGAGACAAACCCACAAGGGGGATCCTAGGGCACTGACAACACCAAGAATGAAGATTTGGTTTCCCCCAAAGCCACCCCGCAAGAAAGGTGTTGGAACATTCTGAGGGTTCTGATCGAAGGGCTCTGAGAACCATTCCAGTGGGTTGGCAGTTGGCGGAGTCCATTGAATTCTCAACTGAAATCGTTCATGCCGTTCATCGAGGGGAACGCTTCTTAAAGGTTGTTCAGCAGGGAAACCAACGGAAAAAGATGGGGGTCAATTGAGGTGAAGGTGTTTCCCCCTTTTGCACATGTGAAACATCACGAAACCAAGGAACAGCGACCTTCCCAGGCTCAGAGTCTCTTTTCAGAATCGGACAAGGGCTCCTTCCAAGGGTACACATAGTGGCATAGAGTTTCCCTTCAAGCAACAAAACAGACAAAAACGGGGGAGGGGGTGGGGGGGGTGCCTCCTCCTTTTCTTGGGGATTTGTGAGAAGTCAATCTCCCATTTTGGGAGACACCCAGTCCTTCTCTGATTTGAGGTGTGGGATAGATAGTAGCAGCGCTCTTCTTGGGATGGTTCTCAAGGGACAGAAAGGAAACCAACCATCAGGGAGGCTTTATTACATGTTGTCCTTTACGCGGAAAATACAGACACAGAGCCTTATTTGACTTTGAGAACTTGTTCAACGTGGACGGTGAATTGGGCAGCCCAATCTTGGTTTCAAATCCATGTCGTCTTACTCATTCTGTCCAGCGCAGCCTGCGAGGCATTGGGCTCGCTGTGCAACCTCTTTGGGCCACTGCCCTCAGATATTCAACTCCCAGTCTTTGAGGAGGCGAAGGATCGAGTGGGTGGGCGCGAGTGATCGAACCTTGAAATCGAAAACTTTGGCAGTAGAATTGATAGAGGGCGTGGTTCTTTTTGAGGCACGGCGCGGTTTGAGGCACGACAGTGCCATGTCCTCATGAGTTTGTCGCCGATGCTTCAGGAGCGCATTCGAGCTGTGGGACCTGTGTCAGAGCACGTCCTGAGTCGGGTACTGGAAGCAGGTGCCTTGGATAAGAACTTTGCAAGATCTCCAGTGGCATCCAGTGCCATCCAGTGGCCCAGTTCCGCAGTTCCTGTGCCTTAAGCCAAAGGAGAGAGACTTTTCCTCACCGCAAACAACCCCCACCCCCCCACCCCCCCACCCCCCCACCCCCCCACACCCCCACACCCCAGGCCTTGGCCGGCGCAGCGAGCGCCATTTGTGGCGGGTGGCTCGACGCGGGCAGCCGAAGCCGGCGCCGGCGAAGGAAGCGGCGCGGCCGGTGGAGCTGCAACACCTGGAGGCCGGAGGTTCCGGTCAGCTCCCCGAACTATAGTCACTACC